TATTGATCCTTAGGCCGCCGTGAACGCCAGTTTCCTCATTCCCGGTTTTCTCAGCCTCCTCACCCATTTTAAAACACTCCCGCCACACCAGCCCCCCCAGCTCGACCCCCCCACCCCCCTGCACACGCGCAGCGCAGCGGGAACCCAGCTGATTTCATTAAAAATGCAAATACATTTTGACCCAAATCAGCACATTAAACACTTATTAGACACTATAGCTTCGGAAATTAAATAATTTCCACATCACTAATGAACATATGTAAAATTCTACAATGATACACCAAGTTCGTAAATCATAATACAAAATTAAAGGCTATAAATCCCACTTGACTTACAATACCACCACATAAAATACACAGTCATAAGTGTGGTACAAAAATTACAAAAACACCCACAAGAACATTAAGAACCAAACAAAGAAATATCTATTTTTGTAAAACGTAAAAGAATATACAAATAATACAAATTGAGTATTAAGTACATTATATGAACATATCCCGTAACCTTGTAATAGTTAGGTTTCTGGCAACGGGATTCACCCAAACAAAATATATATTGGTTATGAAAGATTTCCTTTGGACCAATAAGCACAAACCAAAGTGGAATATTGAGCGTTAGTCTTACTTCCCTATCTTTAAGCATCGAATAAAGGTCTCCTGTGAATACCGTGACCAGGACATGTTTCACTCGCCACATAAAAAAAAAAACCAACACCTAATGAAGTGTCTAACCTCACAGGAAGACCATGGCACACCCTACCTAAACAGCATATAACAATTGTAAAATATAGTCCCATACAGGAACAAAACTCCTGAAACCGTACATAACACACAGTAATAAACAAACCCTACCACGGGTGGGGATAGAACCCGCGATCAGAGTCTCAAAACTCCAGACCGTGGCATTAGCCACTGGATCAGTGGCTAACGCGACGGTCTGGAGTTTTGAGACTCTGATCGCGGGTTCTATCCCGGCCCGTGGTATGGTTTGTTTGCAATCGTGTCATTACGATTTCGTGAGACACATAGTAGTACATATGCAGAGCCGTACTACATCAAGCATTAAAAACCATCTTGGCCCCTGACACTTCAGAAAGCCCCTCCCCTTGCCAACCCCTGACTCGATACTGCCTATATTAACCACAAACTCTTTCCTTTTATACTCTAGCCCATACATGAAATCTAAAGTAAAATCCCCCATCTCTTAACCATGTCTCTACTGCCTATATTAACCACAAACTCCATCCTTTTCATAAAATCATTTTCCCATACAAAATCCACTAAATAAAATCCCTCTCCCACCCTAACGCATAGTCTCTACTACCCATATATTAAACCCCCAACTCTTTCCTTTTTATACCTTGGAGGCCATAAATGCAAATCCAAAGTAAAATCCCCCCCCCTCCCAACCCTACCCAGGCTCCAAAAAACCCCACCTATACCTCCCCCCTCATGCTTAACTGCACATCCAATTGCACTACCACAAACATTTATTCCACATCCTAAACTCCACTAATCCCAAAACTACCCTACTCTCCCAACCCTAACAAACACCTACCGTCAATTACGATAACCCCAATGAAAACTTTTACCACACCCTCCCATATAGTAGCCTATTCCCGTAAACCATATGGTAGGCATAACTGCAAGACCACGCTTTTCAATCACCCCCACCTCCCACTTACCCAAAGCTACCAAAAAAAATCGCCACCGACATAACATCACTGCCCGCCGAACGTCCTTGGTTACCCCACTCACATCAAAATGCAAAGCCCTCAAAGTCGAAATGTTACCTCCCCCCCGCCACTATACCTATAACCCTCGCTAACTGTCTTTACAACCCCCAAATTTTCACAAAAATATACAGCATGGAAAGCCGTCTCCTCCTCCCCACAACGCAGACAATTCCCCACACCTACATAACCCGTAATATATAGCACAGATCTTTAAGCAAGAATTCCCAGCAAGAACCTATATACCAGTTCCCGAACCTTCGGCTTTAATCTAATCCTTCGAAAGTCTTCCCAAATGCTCCTCCAATCGTACATCGGGTATGTATCTGCTCCCTGAATCACCTCACCCTGCCTACCCATCTTCCCAAGCGTACTTACCCTTACTTTCCTTGCATCCTGGATTGTTAACAAATTACATACCATATCTTCACACACCAATAACACCTTCCTCTTCCACCATTTCCTCACATCCTCCATCACTACTCCCACCCTTATACCACTCTCCCCTCCCACCCTCAGGTACAGCTGCTTCACATACACTGCCTTCGTGTGTGTATCTAAAGGTATGAGACCCAGCCCACCCTGCCGCACCCCTGTCATCACCCCCACCTTCCTTAGCAATGGCCGCCCATAACCCCATACATACCTCAAAAAAAAACCTCTCCAGATCCTGAATATCGCATGACCTCAGTGGACAGACCTCTACTACTCCCCACACTTTACTATACACAAGTGTGTTTACCACCACCACCTGATGCTGCAATGTTAGATCCCCGGCCCTCCACCCACGCACCCTCCCCAATGCTCTACTCACGACCTCCCCTGAGTTTGTCTGCACCTCCCCAGCATCCACCATGTACACAACCTCACAGATCTTAATTCTGTCCACAACATTCCACCCATACTCTTTCCCCAACCCCCCTCCCCACCCACGTACCTATTTCCATTAACTTAGACTTTGCTCCATTAACCCTCATCCCAGTAACCCCGCCAAAGATCTCTATTATACATCCCACGTTCCCCAATCCAATCTCCCCTCCCACAAAAACTGTGGTGTCATCCACATACCCTACAATCCCAGATCTGCCCAGACCCTCCCCTCCCCGTTCCCACACTCCTTCCTCAATAAGCCTATAAAAGGGGTCTTGCATGCATGCAAAGAGGATTTTGGACAAGGGACAACCCTGTCGCAAACTCCTCCCCAACTGCACCGGCAACCCCAACTTACCATTAACCTGTACTCTGATCCACACAGACATATACAAAGTATTCACCCACCATACAATCTTGTCCCCAAATCCTTGTCTTTGTAAAATACGCCTGCTTCCAATTGATCCCCAAGACACCCCCCTGTCTGCTTTCCACAAAATCTCTAATTCGCCCATACCCTTCACTCATACTTCATCCTGGTACCCCATACTGTTCTCTATGTAGAACAAGGCCAATCACCCTTCATGCGAATTACCTAATACCTTCACAAAAAGCTTATAATCAGAACACATGAGGGAGATCGCCCTATAGGCACCCAAGGTCCTCCCCCCCTCCGTTATGAACCAAAATAACTACCACCATACCCTACATCTCACCCAGCACTCCCCCTTCCTTCATACAGCTAAGCAAAGAGACCAGACATTCCTTTATACTATCCCAATTTGCAATAAAGAAATCATTAGTGATCCCATCAATCCCTGGTGCCTTTCCCCTACTCAAGCTCATTACCGCCTCCCCCACCTCCTGCTCACTGATCCTACTCCCTAGTGCTGCTCTCTCCTCCTCCCCTAAAACTCCCAGAATTCCTTCCCCTATAATCTCCCCCTCCCTTCCTCCACCCTCCCCCTGCTTTAAATTCTCCTTAAACCAAAAATCCGCATAGTTACTCATTCTATCATTGGTACTTAGTACTTGCCCCACCCTATATCCCCCACCCCTTTACGTGCCTCTAATCCTATAATCGTGGTCCTCTGCTGCCTTTCCCTGAACCTCTGCAAAATACATCCGACGGTTTGTCTCCCCATAGTACCTCCTCTAACCCACCCCTCACACGTATCGCATCGAAGCAAGAATTTTGTATATCCTTCAATCTTCCCCTTAGATCCTCTATATCCCCATGCCTACCACCCCCTCCCCATTCATAACAATCATTGAGTTGCCCCTCAAGGTATTTCTGTAAACCAAACCTCCACCATGCCTCATCCCATCCCCTATGCTGATAATACTCCTTAATCTGTGGTTTAGCACACTTCTCCCACCATCCCAATACATCCTCCTCCTGGGTGCACGCATCCCAGAGGTGCCTCCACCAGTCCCTGAATGACAATCCCTCCTCCTTCCCCTGAAGTAACCTCACATTGAAATTCCAGTAACCTGTATCCCGGCGAACCATACCATCCCATGCCATGTCTGCAAAAACTGCACGATGGTCTGAAAAACCAAAGTCTACCATCAGCACACATTCCAATGTGATCCCATGATTTATATAAATGCGATCTAACCCTGCCGCACAAACGTGTGCTCCACTCTCCACCCAACTGCCCTGACTATGCCGTAAACCCCCACCTCCCTCAACAAATCCCTCAACACCCCAAGCACACACCCTGCCCCTCTCGGCTCCACATCCTTATGTCTAATTACACAATTCCAGTCACCACCTACTATAGAAACCATAGGTAAACCCCTCAAGTGAAAAAGCAAAACCTCCTGTACAAAATCCACCTTTACCCATCTGTTACTATCTGCTGGAATATAAATCCCCAGAAAACACATCCTAACCACCCCCCAAAGCCCCTCCACCCTCCCCTCCCTCCTCTTCCCACACGAGCACTTGAAATGGGCTGGAATCCCTCACTGCCACTGCAACCCCACCCTTTAATTTCCCTGAACTACCAGCATATATCCTAAAACCTTTCAGCCTCAACTCTCTGCCACACTTAAAATTGTGCTCTTGAATAAAACACAGGTCAATATCAAAACGCCACAAGACATCCTCCAACCTTCAGCCCTAAGGCCATTCACATTGACAGACAAATGTGGAGAAAAGGGGGCTTTCCTCTATGCCTCTGTGACCTGTCTACTACAGTTTTTGTTGCTCCTGAATTCTTCTGTTCACTCTTGTCCCCCCTGGACCCCTACCCTGTGCACTACCCTGCCCTTTCTTAGTCACACCCACCCATGTCTTCTTACCAGAACACTGGGCAGGAGTAATGACCTCGTCATCCGAGCCTCCAGCTCTCTTCCTAGATGCACCCTCTATCTCCACTCCAGCATTCACACTCTGTACACCTCATCCTCCACCTGATGCAACTGCAACAAGCCAGGCCCTGACCCCAGAGGCCCTGGGACCTGCCCATGCAGGTCCTTCTCAACCATCATAAGTCCCCCACTTACAGAGGGGATCTCCTCCCCTGGCACTTCCAGGAAAGACTTAATCATCTCCTGCAGGGGTTCCAATAAGTCCTGTAGTTCACCTGCCTCCCCCACCCCCACAGGCTCCAGCCCAATACCAGATTCTTCCTGTGTGGGAGAGTCCAAAACTTCTAGTAGCATCACACAACTCTCCTCCACACCATCCACTTCGTCCACCCATCTTCCAGTGCCTTCCGCATTCACAGGAGCAGACGAAGAAGCCACCAAAGACTCCGTAACCACTGGCATTTCTGATGATCGCGGAGGCTGCTACCTTACCACACCCGGCTGCCATGTGGTCAAAAGCACCACACAAACGACACGTCTTACATTGTCCCTCATAAGTCACGAACACCTGTGTCCTAAAAACCTCTAGGGCTACATACGATGGAATGGGTCTTCGAAATGTCATCTTAACAGTGTAAGAACCTGCAGGAAGCCCCGTGTATATTCCTTCTGTCCAACGTCCCAATGTCACAGCATGCACCTCACCATAGTGTCGAAATGCCTCACGAATGTCCACATCATCCACTTCGAAAGGATCGTTTCGATTTCCCACCCAGGTGTAGTATTTGGAGGCATTCCACAGGCACACCTCCACCCAGGATAAAAAGGGGAGTTTCCAAAGTCCGAAACCGAGTTGTCCTCTCATAACTGCCACTGTGCAAAACTGATGAAATCCTTGAAGTCCATTAGGGGAAATTTCCCAAAATAGCTCTTCGTTGTTAATGCAGAACGTGTCCCGGACGACCCCTCGGGCAGTAAAACAGAGGCATTCGTCGGTAAATTCCCCTTTGACTAAGTCAACACAGTGTTATTCCTTCTGAGCAACCTGCCGCATCTTGGAGAAAAGGAAGTTGCACAAAGGTGAAACCTGGAGCTTTTTGCACACACAACCACTCAGCCCAGGCATAGTGGCCAATGAAAGACGGCAATTAGTATCTCTCCTTATGAATGCTGCAGGCATTTGAACAATCTTGGCCACTGTAAATTTGTTTGTTGTCTAAGTTTAAATCAGAACCCCTGTTTTTATTGGGGGTGTTGCACAGCCTGCCGAGAAATTTGCTTTCACAGGGTGATATTTGTGTTCAGATTTGGAACAGCCCTCTGGGATTTTCCAAGTGTATAAATAATGTATTTCTTGCCTGTACATAAGAGAACAGGTCTAAGGACTTTAATCGTTTCCAGTAATTGAAGTGCGTTGTTGTACTTAGACATGCCGTTAATGTTCTTTGTATATTCTCCAGACTTGCGATTTCGCTTGCCTTGAAATGGTTCGTTAGTTTACAGCAGTACTCCAGCCTAGAGAGAGAATAAATGATTTGAAGAGAATCTTCACTGGCTTTGCATCCCTAGTTTTGACGGATCCCTTAATCATTTTCCTAGTAGATGTGGTTGAGACATTGTTGTGATCTTCCAACTGAGATTCTCTGACATTATCACTTCCAGGTCCTTCACGTTTTTTTCGCTTTATTGTATGGTTGGATTTATTTATGCTTCGATTAAGTATTCCCTCGAGTTTTCCATAGCGGAGTAATTGAAATTTATCTTCGTTAAACTTCTTATTTTGTTTTTGAGACCCATTTGAAGACTTGGTTAATGTTCGCTTGGGGATTTACAGTGCCCTCAATGGATGACTGTCATGCAAATCCTGGTATTGTCGGCTTTTGACTTAACTCTGTTTACTATTACTCTTTGTGTTCTATTTGTTAGGAAGTTATAGATCCATGTACCCAGTTTTCCTGATATTCCTTTATCATGCACTTTATGTGCTATTGCACCATGGTTGCACTTGTCGAAGGCTATCGCAGAGTCTGTGTATAACATATCTGCATTTTTGTCTTCCATTCCATCCAAGACTATGCCATAGTGGTCCATAGTTGTGAAAGGCAGGAGCAACCTCCTCGAACCTCATGCTGCCCTGGGTTGGGCAATTGTTTGGTGGTCAGGTGGTTGGCAACCTTGCTTCTTAGAACCCATTCCAATATTTTTATGAAGCGGGACAGTACTGCTATCAGTCTGTAACTCTGCAATTGCTTTACTGCCACTTTTGTACAGTGGGGCTATATCAGTTGATTTTAGGGAGTATGGGATGACCCCCTTGTTTATGCTCCCTTTCCATTTAATATTTAAGGCATGAAAAAGGGTTTCTTGCAGTTCTTGATGATCACAGAGTTTCACGAGTCTGGGCCTGCTGGTGGAGTGCAGTAATATGTAATTTATTGTTTTTTTTTTCAAAGTCCTGTAGTGTTAAGGTTATATCAGAAATTCTTGAATTTACCGAATTTCAGCTCTTAATGTGATTAAAGCCTCAATAACATTGAGTCATACTGGGACTTCTGTATTTCACTCATTCTTTGCTGTCATCTGTGTATGCTCCATTTAGTTTAACCAGGGGTCCATTACTGGATGTAGTTTTTGCTCTAGATTTGACATAAAAGAAATATTTTGGGTTCCTTTAAATTTAATTTATTGATTTAAGTTCTTTCTGGGTTTCTTGGCTCCTGTATGATTCCCTAAGCTTAAATTCAATATTTTATATTTCGTTGGTTAGTGCCTCCTTCTTCATTTCTGATAGACTGGCTCCTTTGAACAGCTCTGTGATTTCTTGGCTATGCCTGTAGAGGGAGAATCTCTCTAGTTAATGTTATGTCCTCTATTTCTTAAGGAAATGTGCCTTGAGCATACCTCAAGTGCCACAAAGTTAATTCTTTCTAGACAAAGGCTTGGATCTCTTCCCAGGATATCTTCCCAGTATATTTCATTTAGGATATGGTTAATTTGATCACACTGGATGTTTCTGTTGTTGAAGTTGAATTTGGTGAAGTCACCCACATAACCGATCTTATTTTGCTGGTTAGGAGCCCTGTGCATACAACTCTGTACTTCGATTATGTTGTGATAATAGTGAAAATAAGATCAAGTATACTATTTTCCAGTCTTGTTGACTCCACTATTTGCTGGCTTAAAGGGATTTGTTGCAGAGATTTAACAGAGCAGCTCTATTATACAGGACAACCTCCCCCCTCCCCTAGTCTTGAAGATTGAGACACTTATGCAACATATGGGAATCTTTATTCAGGAAACGTTTCGTCACACAGTGGCTTCATCAGTCCATCAATCTTGTAGATTGATGGACTGAACACATCGACTCCAGGCTGAGGGACTGATTACCTCAAACTCCTCCTCTCCTTACGCCTTTCTACTTTCTATTGGACTGATGAAGCCACTGTGTGGCGAAACGTTTCCTGAATAAAGATTCCCATATGTTGCATAAGTTGCCCTCAATCTTCAACGGTCGTTTTTCAAACCATTCATCCCCCAGTCTTGTTGCCTGTTCTTTCTGTTGCATCTGAATAAGTTGTACTCTGAGATCCATATCTTGTCAAAGTGATCGTCTGTGTAGGTCTCTGTGAAAGCGTCCAGTGAAGTGTCCAGTGATGAAAGATATTTTGTTGGTTGATGGCTATAGATCCTGTTTATTTCCAAAACTAAGTGTTGTATTATTTGTTGGGGGGGGGCGAGGGTTACTGACTGGGCCTCCACTTTATAAAGCTTCGAGGTGGCATAGTACAGGGTGTTTCAAAAAGATGGACCCGATTGGAAATTGCTGTATCTCTGCAACCATGATGCGCCCATGACTTTTTAGTGTGAGGATACGTCAAAGAGAGTGTTTTTGTACCATCATTAGCCACTAATCTGGAAGACCTCAAAAACAGAATCCTGGAAGACAGTTTAATGCTCTGTTTATTTATGTATAAGATTTTAACCACCCCATTGATTTTCAAAAGGCCAAGAAAGCTGAATAAAGCAATACCATGGTTGAGAGAAATGTAACTGTATCAAGTTTCACAACAAAAATAGTACTGATTTTTAATATGAATAGCAGCTCAGGGTTATACAAATTAGTCATTAAAAAGTAATAAAATTTGGGAAGTATTTAAGCTGTGTGTGGCAGATCCTTTACTCTCCCACCAGCATCATATTGGGACGGGTGTATTGTATGTGTGGTAATATCTCAGCCTTATAAGCCTTCTACCACTCTTATTTTTACAGGTCGTTGATAATGTGAGAAATAATGAAAGCGCTTGGAAGTTCACTATTTTTAAAAAGTGGTTGTTGTTTCGCGCACAACACACCACCACACCACACAACACACACACACAACACACCACACACACACACACACACACACACACACACACACACACATATATTATATATATATATGCAATAAGATCACAGTAAACAGGTGATTTCAGAATATGCAAAACAACCACTCTGAAAGAATAGAGAAAATTCCAAGCGCTTTCGTGACTACTCACATTATCAAGGAACTATGAAAGTAAAGCATCCAAGGAAGCTATATAAGGGGTCTGGCCAGCACCTCACTATCAGATCCCACAACGGTTAAACACCTGACGCGCGGCACCAACTGGATAGGTCCTTTGCACAACTCCCCACAAACATTCTACCCAAGAAAATTTAAAAATTATTTATCCAGTGTATTTTTAAATTCTTCCCAAATTCTATTAATTATAAATGGATCTAATTTATATAAACCAAAGAAAATATTCATATTATTGTCAAAACTCTTTTTATGAAACAAGATTCAATTATATTCCTGTCGACCATGGACTTGCTTGATACTACTTTCTCAACTTTTTGAAATCAATTGGATGGTTAAAATCTCTTACATGAATAAATAGAGCATTGGAATCTTGTCCAGGTTCTAATGCTAAATTTATGTTGTTTTAATCTTATTTTGAGATTTTTACCAGTTTGACCGTAAAAACTTTTTCGCAAATTTTACAAGGAATCTTATAGGGCACATCCATCAGCATTTTGGGGGAATTTTTTATCAAAAGTTTTTTTACTGTTATCAAGATTTTTGAATACAACTTTAATATTAAAAGTCTTTAAGAGAAGGCATATCAACCAAGTTTTCATGGTAAGGGAGAACCAACATATTTTTAGTTTTACAGATAAGTCAAACTGTCTGTTTTCTCATCAAAGTTTTGAGAGCTTTTACGAATTTGTAGTCCTGAGTTCATAGATGAGGAAATATCCCCAAAAATTTTTGAAATAGGTAAGATTTAAAATACCCAAGAAATGTAATTGATAAATCTTTTAAAGTTGCTAAAATACTTTTTACAATCCAAAAAGGGACAACCAGCTTATTCAACTAAAAATATGTTGGTTCTTTCCCCTTTCCATGAAAACTTGGTTGATATGCCTTCTCTTCTTAA